ATTCAAGGAACAGCTAATACCAATTCTCCTCAAAGTATCCACACAATAGCAGCAGAAGGTTCATTGCCAAACTCTTTATGAGGCTTCAATAATCTTGATACCCAAGCTACACAAAGCCACAACTAAGAAAGAGAACTATAGATCAATATTCCTCATGAACATAGATGCAAAAATCTCAATAAAATACTGGCAAATCAAATCCAAGAACACATCAGAGAAATCATCCACCATGATCAAGTAGGCTTAATGCCATGGATGCAAGGATGGTTCAACACATGAAAATCCATCAATGTAATCCACCAAATAAACAGACTGAGGGGAAAAAACCACATGATCAACTCACTAGATGTTTAAAATGCCTTTGACAAAATCCAACACCCCTTAATGATAAAGGTCTTGGAGAAATCATGGATAACAATAACATACCTCAACATAATAAAAACAATATACAGCAAGCCAGCAGCCAAGAACAAATTAAATGGAGAGAAACTCATTGCAATTCTGTTAAAACTGGGGACAAGGCTGTCCACTCTCTCCATACTTCTTCAATATTGTCCTTGAAGTTCTAGCTAGAGCAATAAGACAACAAAAGGAGATCAAGGGAATACAAATCAGAAAGGAAGAAGTCAAATTCTCACTATTTATAGATGATATGATAGTCTACATAAGTGAACCGAAAAACTCAACCAGGGAACAGCTGATAAGCACCTTCAGCAAAGTGGCAAGATACAAGATTAACTGAAAAAAATTAGGAGCCCTATTATACAGAGATGATAAAAAGAATGAGAAAGAAATCAGAGAAACATCACCCTTCACAATATCTACAAAGAACATAAAATCTCTTGGGGTAACATTAACCAAAAACGTGAAAGACCTGTAGAGCAAGAACTCTGAGTCTTTAAAGAAAGAAATTAAAGAAGATACCAGAAAATGGAAAGATCAACATAGTAAAAAATAGCAATCTTGCCAAAAGCAATCTATTGATTCAAAGCAACCCCACATCTGACAGAGGGCCAATTTCCAAAATATACAAGGAACTCCAGAAGCTAGCCACCAAAACACCAAACAATGAAATTAAAAAGTGGGGTACAGAACTAAATAGAGAATTCTCAATGGGGGAATCTGAATTGGCGGAAAGACTCTTAAGAAAGTGTTCAAAATCCTTGGCCATCAGAGAAATGTAGCTCAGAACAACTCTGAGATACCATCTTTTTTTTTCTTTTCTTCTTCTTTTTTTTTATAGTTCAAGTTAGGGAAAGGCTTCCTGGAGTGCACAGGCCTCCTTATTGACATCCATGTTCAGGGGAATACTCAACTTTATATGGAAAAAATGAAAAAACCCAGGATAGCCAAAACAACTCTTTACAATAAAGGATCTTCTGGAGGCATCACCATCCCTGACTTCAAGCTCTACTATTGAGCTATAGTTCTGAAAACAGCTTAGCATTGGCACAAGAATAGACAGATAGACCAATGGAATCGAATTGAAAACCCTGATATTAACCCATGCACCTACGAACACCTTATTTTTGAGAAAGCTGCTAAATCTATACAAGGAAAAGAGATAGCATCTTCAACAAATGGTGCTGGTACAATTGGATTCGGACATGCAAAAGATTGCAGATAGATCCATACCTGTCACCATGCACAAAACTTAAATGAAATAGATCAAAGATCTCATCATAATTCCAGGCACACTGAATCTTCTAGAAGAGAAAGTGGGAATAACCCTTGAACAAATTGGCACAGGAGACCGCTTTCTGTACATTACACCAGTAGCACAGTCACTGAGGTCTGCAATTAATAAATGGAACCTCCTGAAACTGAGATACCATCTTACACTGGCCAGAATGGCTAAAATCAAAAACACCAATTACAATCTATGCTGTCTAGGATGTGGAGATAAAGGAACACTCCTCCATTGCTGGTGGGACTGCAAATTTGTAAGACCACTTTGGAATTGGTATGGCGGTTGCTCGGAAAAATGGGAATTAGTCTACCTCAAGATCCAGCCATTCGTCTCCTGGGCATATACCACATAATGCCCTTTATTACAACAAGGACGTATGTTCAACCATGTTCATAGCAGCATTGTTTGTAATAGACAGAACACCTGGAAGCAACCTCCATGCGCCTCTTCTGAAGAATGGATAGAGAAAATGTGATTAGAAGTATTTTAATAGAGAAAAATCAAGAAGTACAAAACTGTTCAAAATACTTAAAATATATTCACTCGTGCAAAGTGTAATAATTTGACTGGATAATGAATGTTAAATTATTAAAATTATGTACACAGAGTTTTAGTCAAGAGAAATGTTGACTATATGATATTTAATAGAGTACAGAATGTCAGAGTTAAAAGTAAGGCAATATCAGGTATTCAAGGTCCACATTCAAATGCTTTATCCTATGGAAATCATCAAGACAATTTTCCAATGATGAGAACACATTGGTGTCAGCTCAGCCACGGAGTGCACTTTGAAAGCAGGTCATCCTCTTTTCAGAAAAGGAGGAAGTGAATTGCAAAACAAGTTTATTATTCTTCATTAGTAAAAAAGGGCAGATGGTTGGGTAGCATGCTACCAAAATTGCATTAATTCCCTCCCAGTTTGGAATTTTTGCTTGTACATAAAAACCAGAAAGGGTGATGAAATTGTTCAACCAATAAAAGAGCACAAAACAGATTACCAGCAACAAGATGTTGTGAGTGGCTCTGCGTTCAGGAGATGGCTGGTTGGAGAGGCTTGTGCTGTGAAGATGCTGGACTCTCTTGCGGTGTCTGTAGAGGACAGTTACCATGTAAAGGCTGGTCCACATCATAAGGGCCACATAGAAGAGATCATGAGTGAATATAATATAAAAAAATGACCCAAAATTTTGTTTCCCAAAGTGCTTGTTTTGACAGTAAGGATCCAAATATCCATTGCCAAAGTGAGTAGAATTGGTTTTGGCTATTACCAATGGAACCATCTTTGTTTAGATGAGCAGGTTAATGAGCCAGGAGCAAAGTAAGGATGACAAAGTCAACTTGGAGAGTTTAGGCTTAAGCCACGCCCACCTAGAATTACTGGGAGTGATGGTGAGGACTTGAAATGTGCTCAGAATAGTAGTGGTACTGATGGACATACCCCGCATGACTCTGAATATAAATAACACTACCCTACAACCATCATCATTCAGAAAGTTGGGTACTCCAAAGAATGACATGATATGGGATAGCAACGTGAATATGATCATCAGCATATTAACTATTGTCAGGTGCATGGAAATGGAATCGATCAACTTCTTAAAATGAGGCTTAAAGAAGAAAGTATATATGAATAAAATAAACAATAATGAGTTCCCTGTGACACCAACACATAACTGAGTTATGAGACAGACCCCCAAGATGGTATTACTTGGAAGCATGATATTGTGTGTCAGGTTTGTTAGGCTGAGAGTGACAGATAAAAGGACTGTATTATAAAACTATTTTTCAAATGACATTTGTGGGAAAATATAACGATTGACAGCTAGGAGGAGAATGGGTACGTGAGAAATGTCCACTTCCTTTCTATTCTTTTGTATTGTTTTGGACAGGGCTTCTTTGTGTTTCACTGGCATTTCTGGAACTTGCTCTGTCGACCAGGCTGGTCTCGAATCCACAGAGATCCACCTATCTCTGCCTCCTATATGCTGGGATTAGAGGTGTGTGCCATCATCACCTGAAGAAATGTCCAAATCCTTTCAATGTTAGGTTCAAGGATGACATCTTAGCATTCCACGGATTCTTGACCATCATAGAGGGTAGACTACAGTGTTGGAAAGCAGGTCACATGCAGCCAAACACCCTGAATTCATGTCAGGCAGAGGATATGCTGACCTGTGTGAAAGCCAAATTCGCATGTCATAAGGCTTTTAATAAAAGTTATTTATTTTATGAGTATGAGTGCTTTGACTGTATGTTTGTGAACTCTATGCATGCTTGAGAATCAAACCCTGGCACTCTTGAAGAGCAACCAAAGGTCTTTCACAGTTGAACCATCCCTCCTTTCACAGATATTTTCATTCACCAGTTGATAGTTTTTCCTTTGACCCAGGTATCAATGTAATCATGTTTGTAGCAACATTTGTTTCTAAAACATAGATGGTAGTGTGTGTACTTGAACATCAGTGGTGTAGACACACATGTGTTCCTGTCAGCTTTGTGATGACTGAATACTTGGACTTTCCATGTAGGATGATTTGTCTTGCATTTCCCCTTACATGTTACCCAGCAGTGTTCTGAGGTATTTCATTTCCTTTTGTCTCTTTTGCTAACAGCTTAGAGTTGAGCTGCTGATATGTGGAAAACAAAGGCCAGGGTAAGACTACAAACTCACGATAGTGAGCACATCTTCACAAAAATGTGTTTTCTGTAACAATTGATGATCAAATCAGTCATGTAGATTCTGATTGATAAACCCACTGTAACAAAGATTTCTTTGTCTTGTTATTGCAATATCTGCATTCTATTGCCATCAGAAGATTCTTTCATTCTATGATTTTGGTGAATATGTTTTCTGTACCTTTGATTTTGGATTCTTCACCTCATTCTATGCCATTTATTCCTAGGTTTGGTCTTTTCATGGTGTCCCCTATTTCCTAGATACTTTGTGTTTAGCATTTGTTGGACTTAAAAGTTGAATTATCCAACCAGTCCTCAGAAATTTCTGAATTTTCTCAAGGCACACAAATCCCTGTATTGTCACATGCCCCTACTCTAGTCCATTAATTCTAGTTTGAGGGGGCCAACTTTGAAATTCCTTAAAGAATTCTAACACCTGGGATGTTGTTCTTCCATAATTCCAGTTATTTTTCATATCAGGGATTCAGTTAGTTTCAAGGCTTGTCATTGTTAGCCATTGTTATCTCTTATATAGTTAAACAGCACCCACCATTCTTAAGCTTAGAAAACACATCTCATCTCTCCTGGGCCTTATGGCTTTTTCAGAGCCACGTTTTTCTCTGGAATCACACACAAATTCCCAAATTTTAGTCTGTATTTCTTGTCATTCTACTAACCATCTTCCTGAAATTTGTTTTTTTCCTCATCTTTCTCTCTGCTATGTACCTGTCCTTAAATGCCCTACCTTGTCATTGTTTTGTGACTCACCATGGTCCTGAATTTCCCCTCCACTTACCATGTTATTAGTATTTTCTTCTGCCAAGAATATGAGGACTGGGTTAAAATGTCAGACTGTCATTTGAACCCAGATGAAACAGACTCACGCTATGACTTGCACAGGAAGATCCTATCAATGGAAAATGGAATCACCAACGATTAGCATGCACTAGTTTTGACATTCAAGAAAAGGAAATTTTCTGGGCTGTGGTGGTGAAAGCCTTTAATCCCAGTACTCAGGAGGCAGAGGCAGGTGGATCTCTGTGAGTTTCAGGCCACCCTGTTCTACTTAGCTACTTCAGGACAGCCAGGGTAACACAGAGAAACCCTGACTGGAAAGAAAACAAAAACAAAAATAAAAAAAAAACACACACACACACACACACACACACACACACACACACACACACACACACACACAAGAAAATGAAATTTGGTGTGTTCCAGGTTCCCAGCTTGTGTGTGTTTCTGTGGTGCAGCTGTTTCTGAGTTAATTCTGCTTCTAGAAGAAACCCCTCACCCAAATTCCTGTAAGTAATCCCAACAAAACTCATTGATTAACTGGAGTAAAAAAAAAAAAAAGGAAATGAAATTTGAATACCAATGAAGAGATATATAAAAAGCAATCCTGGAGCAACTGCCAGCATATGTAAAAATATGTGAATTCCAAATAAATATTATTATACTTAATTGTATACATGTGTTAAGTCCCCAGAAATAAATGAAGGTTATAATAAAATTTAAACCAAAACAATGGTACAGATGCAGTAAGAAAACAAAAAAGTGAGCTATCCGGTTGTATAAAATATATGTAAGAAATAAAAAATAACACTGATAATTTTACTTCAATCACATTCACAGTTCACAAAATACATACAGATGACAATTATTATTAAGAAGTTGCTATTTGTATTTTACTGAGAGCATAATTGTAAATGTTTCTCTTTTCTTTCTTTGAAGGCACCTCTCAGCATGCTGTCATGTTGGAGAAAGAATGAAAAAAAATTCTACACCCTGGCTAAGTGCTAAAAGATTCACCCTTTTACAGAAGTTCAAATACATCAAGCACAATGGAGAGGTAAAAGGTCCCTGAGCAAGTGATGATCAGCCCACAGCTAGAGTGTCACAGTGAACACCAGAAAAATTAGTTTATACAGCATTGTCATCGCTATATGTGAGATGCAACTGTATTAAACATATATGAAAAAGAACTATAAAGTTTAAAAGAAATGGAAGAAAATTTCAAACTAACTATTTGAAAAATTTCACCTTAAATAAAGGACACAGTAAGACAAAACGACCACCCACAGAATGGGAAAAGATCTTCACCAACCCCACATCTGACAGAGGACTGATTTCCAAAATATACAAGGAGATCAAGAAGCTAGACACCAAAATACCAAACAATGAAATTGCAATGGAATCTTGAAATTCGCAGGCAAATGGATGGAACTAGAAGAAACCATCCTGAGTGAGGTAACCCAATCACAAAAAGACAAACATGGTATGTACTCACTCATATATGATTTTTAGACATAGAGCAAAGGTTTACCAGCCTATAATCCTCTACCCCAAGGAAACTAGAAATCATGAATGACTCTAAGGGATAAATGAACCCCAGGAATGGGAAGTGGCATGAACTCCTGAGCTAATTGAGAGCATGAGGGTAGGGGAGTGGGTGCTGCCACAATAAGAGCACAAGAAGAAGAGTAGAGGAGAAGAAATGGAGGAGCAGATATATTGAGTTGGGGGAAGAATAGAGGAGAGAGAGCAGGATGAGAGATACTATATCGGAGGGAGCCACTATAGGTCCGAGAAGAGATCTGGAACTAGGGAGATCTCCAGAGACCTACAAGGATGACACGATCAGACAGTCCGGGCAGTGGAGGAGAGGATGGCCTAGAGGATGGCCTTCCCCTAGAATGAGATTGATGACTACTCTCTATGCCATCCTAGAGTCCTCATCCAGTGGCTGATGGAAGCAGAGACAGACATCCACAGAAATACACTGAGCTGAAATCTGGAACCTAGTTGAAGAGAGGGAGGAATGAAGAACGAAGGGGTCTGTACCAGGTTGGAGAAACCCACAGAAACAGTTGGCCTGAAAAAGGGAGAGCACATCAACCGCAGACTGTTGCTGGGAGGCCAGTAAGGGACTGATCCAGCCCCCTGATCATGGATGCCAATGGGGAGGCTCCTGCACTCCTGGGAGCCTCCAGAGGTGGACTGGCGTTTTTCCCTGTTGTGTGTGTGGGAGTCGGAGAGCCCATCCCACTTAAAGGGATGCACTTTGTCTCTG